TGGCCTTGATTCCAATTCTACCTCCTCCATGAGACCTCCACCGTTCAGACCATTAGAAGTCTTTCACACCTTTGAATTTCCTTTTGCAGTTGTTGTCACTGGAACATTTTTTACATTTTAGCATATCTTATTGTCAGTTATCTTTTTGTTTATGTCCTGTCTCATCTGGATTGTGAATTTAAATTCCTGTTCCTCTTTAGATCTGAATATTAGCTAACATCTTCAAGAGATTCTAAGTGAATATTCTGATAGAAACCCAGTGTAGTCACCTCAAAGAGGTTTTATTTAAAGCATTGTTCACTAGTTTGGAGAGAAAATTTAGTAGACAAAATTGAAGTAGTCTGCCAGCCAACATGACTCAATTAGCATTGAAATTAATGAAAAAAATAATCTCTCCACTGTAAACCAAGTGGCTCATATTTGGATACAATTCTAGAAACAACACTATAGCATCCCCACCCCTTTTCTGTACAGCTTGACCATATTTTTGATATTTACTGTGTTTTTGTTTTGTCTCTGTGTATAGCTAACAATGGAGCAATTTTCTTTTCTTTCTTTTTTCTTTTCTATTCTTTCTTTCTTTGTTATTTCAGTATACTATAGTAGTACAAATGTTAAGGTTATGTATATTGCCCATGACCCTCCCGCCTCAAGTCAGAGCTTCAAGCGTGACCATCCCCCAAAACGTTGCACATCTCACTCATTATATTTGTATATATCCATCCCCTCCTCCCCCCTCCCACCTGCCCGACACCCAATAAATGTTTTTCCTGTATGTCCACTTAGGTGTTGATCCGTTAATACCAATTTGCTTGTTTTTCCAATCTTGAGATACTTCACTTAGTAGAATGGGTTCAGCTCTATCCAGGATAATAAAAGAGGTGCTATATTACCATTATTTTTTGTGGCTGAATAGAACTCCGTGGTATACATATACCACATTTTATTAATCCACTCATGTATTGATGGGCACTTGGGTTGTTTCCACATTTTTGCAATTGTGAATTGTGCTGCTATAAACATTCAAGTGCAGATGTCTTTTTTATAGAATGTCTTTTGTTCTTTTGGGTAGATGCCCACTAATGGGCATCCTGGATCAAATTTTAGATCTACTTGTATCTCTTTAAGGTATCTCCATATTGCTTTCCACATAGGCTCAACCAGTTTGCAGTCCCACCAGCAGTGTAGGAGTTTTCCTATCTCTCTGAATCCACACCAACATTTATTGTTTGGGGACTTTTTGATAAAGGCCATTATCACTGGAGTTGAGCGATATCTCATTGTGGTTTTGATTTGCTTTGCCCTGATGATTAGAGATGTTGAACATTTTTTCATATGTTTGTTGACCATTATTTTGTCTTCTTTTGAAAAGTTTCTTTTCCTTTGCCTTTCCTTGTTCATGTCCTTTGCCCATTTTTTGATGGGGTTGTTTGATTTTTTTCTGGCTGATTTTCCTGAGTTCTAAATAGCTTCTAGTTATCAGCCCTTTATCAGATGTGTAGCTGTTCCTGAATAGACCAATATCAGGTACTGAAATTGAAACAGCAATAAAAAAACCTTCCTAAAAAGAAAATTCCTGGACCAGATGGTTTCACACCCAAATTTTACCACACCCACAAGGAAGAACTGGTGCCTATCCTGCAGAAATTATTCCACAACATCAAGAAGGATGGAAAACTCCCCAACACATTTTATGAAGCGAACATAACCCTGATACCAAAACCAGGAAAGAATGCAACAAAAAAAGAAAACTATAGACCAATATCCCTTATGAATACAGATGCAAAAATTCTCAACAAAATCCTAGCCAATGTAATCCAGATGCTTATCAAGAAAATAATCCATCACAACCAAGTGGGCTTCATCCCAGGGATGCAGGGATGGTTCAACATACGCAAATCTATAAATGTAATTCACCATATAAACAGAAGCAAAAACAAAGACCATATAATCCTGTCAATAGACACAGAAAAAGCATTCAACAAAATTCAACACCCCTTTAGGATAAGAACACTCAACAAAATAGGCATAGATAGGGCTTACCTAAAAATGATACAAGCCATATATGACAAACCCACAGCTAATATACTGAATGGGGAAAAATTGAAAGCATTCCCACTTAGAACTGGAACAAGACAAGGTTGCCCACTATCTCCACTTCTATTCAACATAGTGCTGGAAGTCCTTGCTGCAGCAATCAGACAAGAGAGCGGAATTAAGGGCGTCCAAATGGGAGCAGAAGAGATCAAACTCTCACTCTTTGCTGATGACATGATATTATGCCTAGAAAACCCCAAGGATTCAACCAAGAGACTCCTTGAATTGATAAATGAATTTGGTAAAGTCTCAGAATACAAAATCAATACACAGAAATCAGAGTCATTCCTATACACTTAAAGCAGTAGAAGTGAGAACCAAATCAAAGACTCAATTTCCTTCAAAATAGCAACAAAGAAAATAAAGTACCTTGGAATATATTTAACTAAGGAAGTAAAAGACCTCTACAGGGAGAACTATGAAACACAGAAGAAGGAACTAGCAGAGGATGTAAACAGGTGGAAAAATATACCATGCTCATGGGTCGGCAGAATCAACATTGTTAAAATGTCTATACTACCCAAAGTGACCTACAGAGTCAATGGAGCAATTTTCATTCAATCTAGATCATATATTTCTTTTTGTTCAGTTATTGGGGACTGTAATTGAACCATTTGAACTATATACTATTTGGTTCTAGAATGGAAGCTTGATTCTCTCAGCCGACTGCTGGCTTACTATTTATTGTTGTAACACTGGAAAGCAGTGAAAAATATAGTAGTGTTGAAACAAAAGCTGTGTTGAACTGATATTTTAATAATGACTTACATTCATTGTATAATCAATTTATACATGTAGATAATATATAAGGTAATTTAAATAAATTATGGAAGATCTATAAGGTAGCTATTATTATCTTCTCTTTACATATAAGGAAAATGAGTCTGAAAAGAATTAGGTAGCTTTCTTAAAGGCCAAATATTTAGTTTATAAATGGCACTGCTGGAATATAAACTCTTAAAGGCAGCGACTTCATTTTGTTCACTATTGTAGTCCCAACCCTTAGAACAATGACTAGACTTCAAATATTTGTTAAATGAATCCAATTCCTCTCTTTTCATTCTCTCTTGAACTAAACTATAGATTTTCACTCTTATCATTTCATCAAAGCTACTCTTGTTAATGTTCCTAATGACCTCATTGTTATTAACATGCAAATGTTCATTCTCAATCTTTTCTAACTTGACTTAACAGTTAATCAGCTCCCCCTTCCTTGAAATATGTTGTTTACTGACTTCCAAAAACAACACATTGCCTTGTTTCTTCCCCTTCCTCCTCGGCCCCCTCTCAGTCTAATGTTTTCTCATTTTCCTAGCCTCAGAATGCTGGAGTATTCCCAGGGCTCCTTCTTCAGATGTTTTCTACTTTCTATTTATGCTCACTTTCATTGTGGTATCACCCAGTGCCATGTCTTTAAATACAATTTAGACTGTAGTAATTACCAATGCTTATCTTTGTCCTGGACTTCTCTTCTGAACTCTACTTTAATATGTTAGATGATTAGTAGATTGATATGTGATGAAGCTTATTATTATGTCCAAAACTAGACTTATTCTTCTAGAATGGAAGCTTGATTCTCTCAGCTGACTGCTGGCTTACTATTTATTGTTGTAATACTGGAAAGCAGTGAAAACTCTTCAGTTGAAAAGGTATAACTAATTCATACAAACTCAACCCTTCTTGTTGACTAGGCCAAAAAAACCTTGGCATCATCTTTGACACCCAGTATATTAGCAAATCCTGTTAGCTCTGTTTTTCAAATGCTTCCTGAATCTGATCAGTTCTCACCTCTGTTGCTATCAATCTGATCCAAGCCAGCATCCTTTTGCAGATTTTGTTGTGATAGTTTCCTAGATGGTTTCCCTGTCACTGCCCTTGGCTCCTTTAAAGATTGTTTTCAACATAGTAGCTAGGGATCCTGTTTAAAAAAAAAAAAAAGTCAGGTGTATTTTTCTCTGCTCAGATAGAAACCTAAATTCGTAAAACTTAACTTTTTGACCTAATTTCCTACTACTCAATCTAGCCCTCTGGCTTCATTGCTATTAAATAATATCAGTCATGCCTTCTACCCCACCCCTAGGGTCTTTACATTTATTTTTCTCCCTTTCTGGGATACTCTTCCCACAGATGTCTCCCTGATTAAGGTCTTGTGATCTTTACTAAGGTCTTCAGATCTTTACTAGAGTGTCCTCTTCTCCATGAGGTCCCTACTGACTGTCCCATTTAAAATACAGCTACTTCCATGCATACCTTTCCCATCTCACCCATCAGCACTTCTTACCCCATTTCTTGTTTTATTTCTTCCCCAATTAATTAAGATCCTTTGACATACTCGTATATTTTACTTATTTATTTTAGTATGTGTGTATTTTAAGTTCTCTCCTGACTAGTATATAAATTTTACTAGAATATTAAGTTCCACAAGGGCAGGAAATGTATTCATTTGTCTATCCTGAGTTATTTGTGTGTCCACCCCCAGAACCAATGAACCAATGAGTGATTATTAGAACTAGAATTTGAATCTAGATCTGTTTGACCTTATAGCTAAACTAGGCTATCATTTGGTTTATGTGTATATGTTCTTTGTTTGATATACACACACCCCTATGCCAACCCACCCATACTCAAAAGCCTTTCAAATTGATAAAGTTGTGTAACTTTTATGCATGAGTAATGAACAATCTGGACATATTTAATCTTACAGTGATAATGACTACAGCATTCTGAAATTTACCTTCAAATATAGCTATGGCTTATATTTGTTTTATTACTTTTATAAAAGTTGTATGTGTATAATGTTACTATATATAATGTGTTACTATTAATATATATTCTATGCATATATGTGTGTACGTGTATATGTATAATATATATATACATATATATATAATTTTTTAAAATAGGTTATCAGGACACCCCATGGGAGAGACTTCGATGACTCTTTGGAAAGATGTGAAGAATATTTGAGCCCAAGATCATGTAGCAAGCCCCAACATTCAGCGAGGACCTTACTAGTCCATTCAGCACCCTCAACAATGCCGAAGCATTCTCCAAGTCCTGTGTTAAATAGAGCTTCTCTCAGGGAAAGGTAATAAATAGTCTCTGTTTTTGTACTCATCTTTTGAATAATCAACATTAGAAAGGGAAGACAGAAGTTATTCATGTGAGCTGATTATTTGTAAAGTATAATTTGATTTTAAGAGGCTTCCTCCTTAAATTGTTTTTGTTTAGAATATACTATATGTTACATAATGTTAGATATTCCTCACTAGCCCAGTTCTCTAGAAATGAGTTTATTAACCAGATATGGGTCACGTTAACCCTAATTAAATATTATGGTTCTTAAAAGTGAAATATACAGTATATGATAGTTTATTTTAGCAGATTCATAGAGATTTAATGTTGTAGACATGCCTAAAGTATAAAAATGGCATAAGTATTTTTCATTTAGTCATAATGGTGATTTATATATTGTTGGTAAATGGCATCTAGTTTTCTCAGATAACCTTCCCTCAACTCTCTAAGAGAATCTTAATCATGAGAAGATTCCAGCTCTCCCTCTAAAAAAGTTTTGGCAACCGAAGTTAGATACTTATTATGATTTGGATGTGAAAGAAATGATTCCTTTTTCATATTTTTAAACCTCTAAATTGGAAATTCTTTCCCTCTGTCATAAATAGTAACATAGAAAAGTATGATTGTCATAAATTGAAAAAAATCAATCCTGGTTAAAAATAATTATAGAAATTTGAAAACCTCAGAGATAATACAGTGAACAACCTGTAAATTAATCTGTATTTATAGATGGTATCAAAAAGCTAAAGTAAGTACACGAAATTGCTACAGCGTATTAAGGCCATCAGATATAATTAACAAAGATTTAATTAACTGTAGAGAGTATATCAAAAGTTCAGCTCAAAACTGATGATTTGAACAAAAGTGTGTTAGTTTGGATGCTTTATTAAAACACCCCTATTCTGAACAGATAGGTTTGCCTTTTTCTTCATTACCTTTATAAGCATTCAGAATGGATATATGGAGGCATGTTGAAGACCCCAATTCTGAAATATGTAATTTTTATTAATGTTGCTTCTAGTCCAATAGAATCATGCCTAAGAAAATCATAGAATCATTGGCATAGGTGCACATGCACACACACACTTTCTCTCTCACACACACACAAACACACACTTTAAAAGTTTAAGAGAAACTTTTTTTATTATTTCAGCATATTATGGGGGTACAAACGTTAAGGTTACGTATATTGCCCATGCCCCCCTTCCCTCTCCCACCGGCCCAACACCCAATAAATGTTATTCCTATATGTCCACTTAAGTGTCTAAGAGAAACTCTTAAAGAAGGGTTTTTCTGCTGAAGTTTACTAATTTGTACCTCAATATCAGGTGATTTTCACTGATTTCCGCATCTGCTCAGATGTTCAGACATATAGTTGGTACCACTTTCTTTTTACTTACTTTTAGAATTAAGCTCTTCTGATTTTGTTGATTGGGTCCTTTACCATATCTGTATGTTTTGCAGGTTTTTTTAACCTATATTTCTTTGGATATGTTTTTATATTTTTATTTTTCTACCTTTTCATGTATTTTGTAGACTTTCCAATTGTAAATGTATCACTATAGTACAATACCAATTTTGGTCCTGTGTTACTTTATCCTTGTATACAATTTTGTTCCAGCTATTGGCTCTTGTCTAGATTAACACATTCTCCATTTAGGTCATATTAAAAAATTCTTCTTTGAAGGTAGCTAAAGTCAGCTATTTCTTTATTCTTATTTTAGTGTGGGAGATAGCTTAGAGTCAATAGAGGCATTTGCACATTGTTTTCACTCAAGGTAGTAGATAAGTTTTGTTGAAAAGAAATGAGTGATTGTAATATTAAACATTACCTATTTTACCTATAACTTTAAGAAGATTAGATATTTATAAAATAAAAGAATATAATGATAATTTAGTTTTGAATTCATCTAAATAAATTACTTAACACTTTATTATGTACTTTCTAAGGCAAGCATAATAAACTTTTTTATTTTCACTGAGGCAGAATACCTCCACTTCTATTTTCAGTGTATTTTCTAAAAAAGATCTAGATTTAGTCTAATGAAAATAAAATCTTTAAGACACACTACTAGGAACAAACACATTTCATTATTTTCAACACTCAATACCACATCTTTAAATATAAGATGTTCTCTAAAAAACAACAATCAATCAATCAATAACATTCTCTATCTGGCTTTTTCTAGGTCACTGAGCAATATTCTTGCAGGGTTTTTATACGATTTATTGAAATCAGTAAACAATTTAAGCTGATGTAAATGTAGATTGTATGTCCCAGGAAAAATTGGAAGTTTTGCCTGAAACCTGTCTGACAGAACATATAGCTGTAGGAGTTTACCTGTTTAAATATTCATTGCAATTAAATAAGTTTACTCTAATATTGTGGTAAATTGCTGACTCCTTAATCATATATGTGAATAAACAGATTTTTAAAAATATTACCAGTGACTTAAACAAATGAATCCTTTATTTATAGTAAAGGTGCTTTTTGCTTTGAGCCCATTTGAAAAATTCCCCCAATAAAGTTAAAACATCATAAAATAGTTTCAATTTTTATTGTAAGTGTTATATTTCAGGAGCGGTTTTCTTCTCAATGTATAAATATTAATATTGTGATTTAAAATTTATAATAAGCTGTAGAGTTATTACTAAAATTAGACTAAGAAATACTAGCCAATCTAACTAAAAAGGAGCTGATATTCTTTTGAATCATGCTTAAAGTTTTGTTTTTGTAAATGAAGTTAAAGATTGGTAAGCAAGCATTCCTTATACCACAGCACAGACTAGTGGATCCTCTAATAGTATTATTGAAGAGATCCAGTGGATCCTTGGAGCTACATAGTTGCATCGCAGATTTCCAAGATGTGCTATATATATTGCACATAATAAAGTCTGCCAATATATTTGCATAGGTGCAGTAGGACTTGCTTTTATACATTCAGGAGATTAAAATTTAGACATACTTGATTATCCATTATTGATTATGTTCTTTAAAGTAGGTTATATAAACCATTTATACTGCTCAGTAGTTTATACTTTGCTTAAACATATATAATTGTAACTTTTAAGAACAAACAAGGAAGAAAAAAGGCATAGGTTTAAGCAACATATCCACATTTTACCTATTTCTTTATAAAGAAATTATCAATAACACTTCATATATAGATGTATTATAATTAGAGATTTTCATTATTATATATAATAAAGTAGCTTAATTATACTAATGTCAATGGTGAATTTGTGAAGGGCGTAAGAAACAAGAATGGATGCTTTTTTTCTTCTTTGACATCATTTCAACCCTTAGACTCTAATAAAAGTCATATTTTATTTCTTTGTCTTTTAAGTGAATTTATCTCATAGCAGAGACTAGAGAGGTGATATCATCTGTGTTAAGGGACAATTTAATTTCTGTGGTCCTTTGTATTTTGAAAGAAGAACATGATTGGATTCTAAATAATATTTTCATCTATTATACACATTGTTTCATTTTGTAAAAGTAGTTTTGTTTTTTGTATGCAGAAAGGAATTTCTTTCACATAGTTTGAGAGTATGATTAAAGTACAAGAGAATAAGAACTGATTTTAAAGGCAATGTCTATGTAATTGTGTTAATATGAAAATCTATATCTTTAATTAGAGATAAAGCTCTAAATAATTATGTATGGAAATCACTAAAATGGTCAGATATATAAGTATGTTCTCTCCAATGTATGCCAAACTTTATTAAGACTATTTTTGAACATATTGTGAAAACTTAATAGTATAGCTGAGAATTAGTACCTGATATTATGTTTCCCCCATACTTAGTCAAAGGAAGAAAATATGTTATTTTTATCTTATATATATTTTCACATAAGGATAAGGAAAAAAATGACTTTCAATATCTTGTTTTTGGGAAATTAGAAAGATTTCTTTTCCTCTCCCTCATATTACCTTTTTTGTTTTTGTTTTTGTTTTTTTTAATGTCTACAGGTTCCATTCTGATTGGTGTTCACCTTCAAACTGCGATGAGATCCATGACCGGGTAAAAAATGTCTTGAAATCACATCAGGCTCACCAGAGACATTTATATGTTAGTTTCTGAAATTTTCTCTTGAAGGCTATTTATGACAGGGCAAGAAAACCACCTCAGATGCGTAAAGCTTGCAATATTTAGTCACCGAGAAGAAAGAAAAAAGAAATTGATGGTTTTGTCGACGGCAACATATCTTAACTTCCTGCTTGACCTGAGTCACACAAAATGTTTGACATAGAGCATCTGAACTATAAACAATGTTACTGATAATTATCTTATAAAGAGTCAATATGGCCAGGCACATTGACTCATGCCTGTAATCCTAGTACTTTGGGAGACAGGAGGATTGCTTGAGGCCAGGAGTTCGAGACCAGCCTGAACAAGAGTGAGACCCTGTCTCTACAAAACTAGAAAAATTACCTGGATAGGATGGTGTGCATAGTCCCAGCTACTTGGGAGACTGAGGTAGGAGGATCACTGGAGCCCAGGAGTTTGAAGTTGCAATGAGCTATGATTAGGCCACTGCACTCCAGCCTCCCAGATTTCCAGCCTTGAACATCCTGGATGCAAGAAGTTCTTCAATCTCAGCCTCCCCAGTAGCTGCAACTATAGGTACATACCACAATGCCCAGCTAATTTTTAAAATTTTTTTGTAGAGATGAGGTCTTACTATACTGCCCAGGCTGATCTCCAACTCCTGGCCTCAAGCAGTCCTCCCATCTCAGCCTCCCAAACTGTCAGGACTACAAGCATGAGCCACCACACCTGGCAAAGATTTTTTCATAATTTATTTTCATTTTTATTAACTTGCTATTCATTTTTCCATTATTCTGGGTTTTTTTTGTTTTAAAGTATTTCTTTTATGACTTCCCTAATAATATTGGAACATGAAATCATTTAAATTTTTTTAAATGTGCTTCCTTTTTTGCATATCTATGATCATGCATTTTAATTCTACATACATGAAACACACAAGAAATTATTTTTATTCATATAGTAACGTTTATTCATTTTAATCACATATTTACCATTTTTCTTTATTCCTTCCTGCAGTTCTCTTTTGTCATCTGGACTCTAGAATCATTTTTCTTCTAGCTGAAGAATTCTCTTTAATAATTCTTTTTATGTCAGAATTCCTAGATAGGAATTCTGATTTTGTTTGTTTGAAACATCTTGGTTTTACTTTTCTTTTGAAGGATTGTTTTACTAGATAATAGAATGCTATATATATAGTTATTTTCTTTGGCATTTTTTAAGCCATTCCATTGTCTTCTGGCTGCTTTTGTATCTTGAAAAGTCAGCTATTATTCTGTTGAAGTAATATGGGTTTTCCTCTGCTCAGTTGCATGTAAGATTTGCTCTTTGACTTTGTGTTTTGTAGTTTGACTATGATATACTTACATGTGGTTTTCTTGATTTATTTTTCCATTAAGTTTGCAAAAATTACGTCTTTTATCAGTTTTGGAAACTTTTAGCCATTCTTTCTATAAATATTGCTTCACCCCAATATCTCTTTGTTCTTTCTCTGGAGCTCCAGATTACCCGTTTGTAAGATCTTTAGGCTGTGTCTCATCTTTAGGCTTATATTTGTATTTTTCATTCTTTTTTTCTCTCCAGTTTGGATATTTTCTTTTAAACTGTCTTCTTATTTGCTAATAATGTATTCTGCTATGTTTACACTGAATGTTAAAACTATTTGAAATGGACAAAATCTATGAAAGATATGTACTGCAATAAGTAACTCAAGAAGAAATAATCTCAGTGGTTGTATATCTATTTAAAAAATTGAATTTTTAGTTGCCAACTTTTTAAAAAATGAAGTCCCAGGCCCAGATGTTTTCTCTGGTGAATTCTACCAAAACTTTAAGAAAACATAATACCAGTCTTTCACACTCCTGAAAATATTAATAGAAAGAAAACTTCCAAAGTCATTTTATGAGGTCACCATTTACTGTAATGCTAAAACAAGACAACAACATTACAAGAAAAGAAAAATATAGACCCATGTCCTTCATGACCACATTTCAAAAGTCCTCAACAACATATTAGCAAATCAAGTCCAGCAGTATATAAGAATGAAAATATGTCATGATCAAGTGGATTCATTCCAGAAATGTAATGTAAATTCATCATATTAACAGATTAAGAAAATGCATATTTCTTCTCTGTGTGGTTTAAATAGACACAGAAAAAGCATCAAGCAAAATTCAACTGCATTCATGATAAACACTCTTAATAAAGTGGATGAGAACTTCCTGTGAGCATTTATAGAAAACTTATAGCTAACGTTATACTTAATGGTGAAAGACTGAATACTTTTCCCTAAATTTCAGAAACAAGGCAGAGATGGCTTCTCTCACCATTCCTTTAACATCACAATGGAAATTTTAGACAATGTAATAAGGCAAGAAAAATAAAAGGCATAAAGATTAGAAAAGAAGAAACAAAACTATATTTGCAGAAGATATTATTTATGTAGAACATTTCAAAACATCCTAGAAATAGTAAGTGAATTTAGCAAGGTGACAGAATACAAGAAAAGTTCATTTCTTTGCTATATACCAGCAATGAGCAATTGGAATTATAAATGAGAAAATGTATACCCTTTACAATAGGACCAGTGCTTATTTAAAACTCTAACAAAATATGGTGCAGGATCTGCATGCTGAGAACTACAAAACACTGCTGAAAGAAATCAAAAAAGGAGAGGAATAAATGGAGTGACATATCATGTTCACAGACTAGAAGAAGGATGACAGTGCATTTCATAACAATATGGGTGGAACTGGAGACTATTATGTTAAATGAAGTGTCAAAATGGAAAAACAAACACTACATGCCACTCACTATTAAAATGGAACTAATCAATGAGCATGCATGTGCACAGAGGGAAGTGTGTAACTCATTGGAAATCAAACAGGGGAAGGAGGAAGAAGGAGGACAGATGGGCGAAAACTACCTAACGGGTACAACGAACACTATCTGGATGGCAGGCACACTTATAACCCTGACTCAATCGTTACAAAAGCAATCTATGTAACCAAAAAGCATTTGTACCCCCGTAATACTATGACATAAATTTTTAAAAAGAGAAACAAAAAAAGCCAATCATCAAATGTTTTCAATATATTGCAAGCTATGTAATATCAAGCCAAATTATGAGTTTTAACCCCATTTCATAAACATGGATTCCTCATACCCACTCTCATACTCTCATAATCACCAACATGAAAGGAACAATTTGAATTACTGAAATAGAGGTGAGTGATAAACAGTATGTCCATTGCAGTTGAAACTATGTTCACTCCCTAATTCTTATTATCTGTTATTCAGTGTGTTATTTTGTTATACACATGCCCTGAGGCCAAAACCATGAAAAGAAACCAAATTAAATAGGCAAGAAAAATGTCTTATTCCCAGCTTGCAATGCTATTTTTCTTTTTATTGGAATCAAAAAGACTGCCAAAAAAATAAATAAATAAAGTGAAGAGAGGGGAGAGAGGGACATGTCAAAAAGACACGGGAGCCAATCTGAATGAGCCCCCAGTGGCCAGTGTTGGAATAATAAAGAGCAGTAGTATTGGATTATGATCCAAAGAATAAAATAAATATCCAGAGTCCATACTGATATAAATGAAACAATGAATAACTAAAAGTGAGTATGGACAAATCTTCATTACAGAATTTTGAATAACAATTGTGAATATTGTGCCTCCTCCAGCAGATGGTGCTCAATTTCTATCCTGCTTGAGTGAGTATTGGAGTGAGGCTGGACTTAGTGACTTGGTTCTAATGAGTAGTGCATGAAAAGGAAATCTGATAGACATCATCTTAAAGTGATCAAGGTTAACATCACTACTGATAACTTATGTTGATATCATGTATCCCTTGATACCATGTGATATAAAGGGCACTTCTCTGGCTTTTAGGGTATTGATCCCTAAAAGCCATAACCTTAGTCCAAACATGAGGAAACATTATACAAGACCAAATTGAAGGACTTTCTCCAAAATACCTGATGGATACTGTAGTAAATTGTCAAGGTCATGAGTATCAGGGAAGGACTGAGAACTTGTCACAAATTGGAGGACAAGTGGTGACCAAATGCAACATGGTACTCTGTATTGGATCCTGGAACAGAAAAAGTACATTATTAAAAAGACTGGTGAAATCTAAATAAATTTCACACTTTATATAATAGTATTGTACCAGTGTTAATTTCTTAGTTTTGTCAAATATACTGTGGCTATATATTAACATTGAGAGAACCTCAGGGAAAGGTGAAGTCTGTGTACAGGAACTCTATACTAATTTTGCATGTTTTCTATAAATATAAATATTCCAAAATAGTTATAAAACTGTTGAGTTGTTAATTTCAGCCCTTTGAACTTTTAACTAAGAGTTGGTGTGATTCCAGGCCCCTTCCCTCTTCCTTGAGACAAGACAGCATAAAACTTTCTTTCTCTTGGAAGCTTTCTGCGTAGCACTTTGTCCTGTCACTCTGCATAGTTTCAGACATTCTGTAAGTATCTTAAGGAAACACTCAGGTCAGTTTTGCACCATAGCGTCTGGTGCAAACTCACTGGATTTTGGCCACTCAGATCTTTAATTTGGTTCATCTAGTTTAGTGACCCTCCCCAAACCCTGCTGGTTTCTTTGTCCTCCAGCAGTGGGCCTGTGGTTGAGTGAAGCATGGATTCTTGACATTTTGTTCTGTGCTCAGAATCCACAAATGCCCCCAGGAGTAAATCAGCTGTAGACCATTAGCTCAGCTCTCTGTGGTATCTCCTCAGGAATCTTGGTACCACTAATACTGTTGTTTAACCACTTCAGTACAGGCTCACCGGCCCCAAAACCTTGCCCACAGCCGGCACTCATAGTTCGCATGATAGCTTGTGTTCTGCATTGACGATGAATCCGTTTTGCTCTTGTGTGATGAGGAAAGCTTTAAAGCACTGAAAGCTTGTTTTACTTTACAGGCATCTTTACTTGTAATGTAAATCAGAATAGTCAACATATACATATATGTTTTTATTGTGTTATTTTTAAATGTTCAC